AACTATTGGAGGCCCAAGAAAAGAATTACAATTACAACAACATTAGAAAAAAACTAACTGGCCAGGCGTAACAGGTAAGAGCTGTTTAAGTTTCAGGTTACTATAGGTTAACGCTACTCATATTGAAATTTCTCATACTTATAAAGCATTTACTAATTCTATCTTCCCAGCACCATTTTTTTGGTATAAAAAGAAGACTAAGAAATCTAACAAGCATACCTCTTACTGATATGTTGTATCGATGATGACAAACTCTTTCTAGCATTCGAATTAGGTGTTTTCCACATAATCGGAATTCAGGTACAGCTAAAGCGGAGGTTGGGAACAGCATTAACGAGAAAACAACCATAAAGAAAAAGTTCATCGTCAACTTTTCTCTTGATAAGGAATTAGCCTGAGCAAGATTGAGCTACCATACAAGACTAATTAAAACGAACAGTGATCTGACCAAGAATGTCAATAAAATTTAAAGAACAGAAATTTGGAAGGAACCTTAATATTCGCTTTTTAGCTGCGATAAGAAATACAGAATTCCAAAATAATCGGGGATTTCCCAGCCAGATATGGTGAGTAAATCTTTAACGATCAAAGAAGCCACCGAACAACACACCTAATGTGAAAATTTTTGCATTAAATTTCCGATCTCTGGGCGGTGCCAACGCCTCAAGTTGTAGTTGACATTATTAGTTCAGCGATAATTACCCAATAAAATTTTCGTTGAGCAAATATGGCTAAGATTAGAGGCAATTCTGAAACAACAAACAAGTTTTTGCGCACAGCCGCTATTTACAATTTACTGAAAGCAGATCAGGGCTTCTAAGAGCTTTACCTAAGTAAAATACTGCTCTGTCCACAAAACTCAAGTCGGAATAACCGCTAAGCAGCACATCACTAAAAACCAACCTGGTCAAATCCTCCTCTTATTCCATACAGATCCATTAAGTCGTTAAATCGCAATAAATCCTGAAACAGTTTACAAGGGCGAATGAGCTACATTGCTTATTTAAAAAACTTCAACTTCAGCCTAAGTAAACAGGACCAAATCAAAATTTGCTATTTTTACAGTTCTGAAAAACAAATGCTTCCCTTTTGAAACAGTTGTATGCTATTTAAAGCTTAAAATTAATGCTTCAGCTGCTAAACTCAGAATCCCTCAGTGAAAAACGAAAACCTGTCTGCAAAGAAAATTGGAAGTGCAGTCATTGGTACAGAAGTACCTTTTGGAGAATTTCATGTGCTGAAACCCCCCAACTTCGGTCGGTGGTAAACTTGTAAAAAAAAGGCCCTTCTGCTGCAAAGTGAGACCACTCCAAAGTAAGAAAAATTTTCAATTTTTCTTGATCACTACAACCGTCCGACTTTTCAGTGATCTTTGAGATGCTCAAAATTTCATAAATCTATCCCGCTTGAACATTTTCAGTACGTTGTAAACCAGTCTGACAGCTTCTTTTTTGCCAAAAAATATGCTCCCAATAAAAGTAAAATGAACCACATATAAAAGAGAATTAGCTAGAGGCATTTCAATATGCTTTAAAAGAACTTTTTTTTCAAGGTGACGCTACGTACAGGATGCTATAAATATGTAAAAATCTATCGAGCTAAAAGGAAAACAAGAAACCAGAAACTCTTCATTTTTCCCACTGCTTCTATTATTTCTTAAGAGTAAACATCACATTACCAACCTGAGATATTCTACCGACTGTGATGACTTTACCGCCCTACTTCGCGCTCATTATCGCCTCCTCTAGCTTATCCGAAACAGAATGATCAAATTTTCTCAATGAAAATGAAGAAAAATTACTGGAGAAGCAGAGAAAGAGAAAGTGGAACGTGTTGAAGGGAAAGGAGAGTCAAGACCAAGAAGAAAATGAGTCAACTCCAAAAAACCACACATTAACATGCAAGCGAACAGTGTACTACTGTTAGAACGCTCGTTCCAAAATATTCTCTTCCAAAAGGACCAGTATCTTTACAGCCGTACGAAACACAATTTACTATAAAAATTGTTCTACAAAACAGGGTCTTTGGCTTGATACAACCCGGAGCGATAACTGGCCACGCTTAAAAAATAAAAAACGCTTTTTTTTGAAAATGTCTTCGAATAGCTTCTTAGAAACTGCTAGGTCTTCTGCACTACTCTCCACGACAAAGAAAAGAAAGAAATGGTTAGCAATTGAACCAAACTTATACGTGTAAGTAAATAGAAGTAAAACATTAAATGAACTGAAAAAATCAATCATAGAAAAACGTTGTTAGCAAAAAGGGCTGCTTCAAAAATGCAAATTTAATGAGAGTCACCCAGTTGTCCAAAGAGTATATAAATATAGTGATAGACTCCAAAAGAAATGCGCTTTCAGGCACAGTAATGGTCAATAAACAAATGTAAAAAGCATAAAATACAGCTATAATTATTAGTGCAATACACAGGTTGGTATTTTAACACCAAACATCGTTCATCTTGCACTTCGTAAAATGCAAAAATAACCATTTTAGCAGGAGATAAAACTCGAAAACCCCAAATCCTAAATATTAAATAAACTTTTTGAGGCATGACATATTCTAATTAGCTGCTCACTTGTAATACGAACTCCTTTTCTAAAAACTTGCTCTGAAAAAGTATTTGAAGCGGAACGTGTCGGTCCAACAGGTAAGAATATAACATAACGAAATTTATTACTTTTAACGTGGTCTCGAGTGGATACCGAAAGTAATAAATAAAGAAACAAGAAACATCGGGAGTGAATAACAAAACACAAACTTAAAAATGTTTGAAAACAACTTTCTTTCACAACTGACTGTCCTCAGAAAAAAGGAAAAAAGACTGTAAGTACTGGGACAGCCCTGACGCATCAAAATTAAACGCCAGAATTACTCAACAAAATTACGCCTCCCTTTCAAACTTTCTGTCCACTACAATAAAAAATGAATGCAAAGTTCAAGTTTAGAGGAGAAACCACATGGAAGTAAAGAGCGTGCTAAGGTGGCATAACAAAAAAGCAATTAAATTTCAATAAGAACTTTTTTGGCTTCAAGATTAAACAGATTCAGCAGATGAGAAGAAAAATCGACCACTTAATGTCTTGACGAGCAAAAACAACAGGATAAATTTAAAAACGAAATAACTGTTGACACGATTCTATACCAACGACAAAAATTGAGGCTTTTTACTTGTGTAACATACCCAGCAATTAACTTTTGATTACAAAAATCATACAATAGTATCAAAAAAGCACTTTGGATTTCATTTGCAATCATTCAGGGAAATGTAGACTAAAGTAGCAAATCCCACGACTAAAAAATTAATATAGTAAATTCCACAATCTGATGGCAAAAACCGACCAATTTTACATTACCGCAATAACTACAAAACTTCAAAATCTTGGGAAACTGTGTCATCTTCAGCCAAGAAATCACGAGAGAAATGAACAGGGCGTTCTGATACTACAGCAAAAAAAGCATTCACAGGAACCGAGTCGCCCTCACAAATCGTAGTACGATCAACTATCTTGCACTAAATTAAAGTAGAACTTAGAGATGGCACCCACTAAAAAAAGTAAATCTCTGATAAACAGAAAAAAAAAATAGTCAAAAAATTCCAGAGAGCCTCCATAAGAAAGCAAGTTTTTTCCTTCAACAGATGATATAAATATAACGGTCAAAGTAGAAAGAATTTCAAGCAATTTACGTCTCCTAAGTCGCGTATAAGCGTTTCAAAGTCGTTTTCACACCGAATAAGAAATCCAAAAGCACAACTAGGATCGATACTGTTTAACTGTACTTTCAAAACATCAGTACAGTGAAAAGTTTCCCAGTAAGTCGACTGCAAACTTTGCGGCACGGCAGGACGAGCAACATGAGGATCCAAGAATATCAAATACTGTCGAAACAAAAACGTGTTAAGTACACAAAAGAGGATAAATATAGGAGAATAGCGGAAGTTACTCTGGTAGTTTCTATGTGCTCAAACAAAACACAAAAAATAAAATCTCACAAAAGCTACAAATTCAACTAAACTGGCAAGGAACTATTACTTTGCAAATACTGCCGCTATCAGCTACTTGCTTGTTTATAGTGCTTCAGTTGACTCCAAAATCATACGACAAAACTCCCTGTCTTAAAATTGCAAAAAGATATTTCCACCTACGGTTCCAAAATTCTTCTGTACCAATTCCCTGCTGCGACTTTGCCGCGCTCCAGCAAGTAATGTATGAATCATTCGGAAAGAAATGAACAATTCTGAGCTCAAACTTATATCCAAAATAAAACGGCAGTTGCAAGTAACGAAAAACTAAAGTTTCCTAGAAAAATCATTAGTGCTTCTGTTACGTTTAGCTGCCATTTCTCACCAAGGCAAATGATAACTTAAAAAACTAGGTTTAGTATTAATTGGTACTGCGTTACGTTATCCTCTATTCCTCGAAAACAGATGCTTACAAATAAATTTCAAGGGCCTTTACTATTCAGTAAATATATACCTTTCTGTCATACCATCCAAGAAAGTATAACGAATGTTTTGGCCGTCCTCCAATCATCCCAACCGTATTTTTTATAGAAAAGCAATTCAAAATATGACTACGATAACACTGAAAACTTCAAATTTTTATAATGCCAACAACTTCCGGTAAAAATGTAAATTAATTTTGCACAAAACCAAACGCAAATAAGAACAAATTTTTGCACCCATTTCATGTCATATACAACTCCGTAATCCAAAACAGTTTACTATGGTCAAAAGATCAAAATCAACTAACCAAATCAGGACATCTTTTGCTGTATAAAGCTTTACAAATGTCTTACAGCCGCTTCACAGTGCCAACAAACAGTAGCAAAAAAACTAAATTCTCACTCTTCGGATAAGTAATATTTTCGAGACAGATGAGATTCGGACGCAAAAATCTCCAGTCTACTACGACCTCTACACATACATTAACTGTTGTGTATCATACAGAACAGTTTCTAGGAAAAATATATGAGAAAATAAGAGCTAAATGCCCAAGTTCAATAAATTTCAGACAACGGCCTCTTCAACTGAACTCTCTTACCCTGCACCCAATTCCAGCAAAAAAGCTTGAACAAAACTAGAATTCGCTTAAATTAAACTTTACCACTTACATTATTTTATACGTCAGCATGGCTTGATAAACTATTGCCAGCAAAATCAAACTTCGATAACAATATAAATGACATGTAGCTAAGAGATGAAAAACAGAAATCTTCGCCTCTCCAAGACTTGTGTGAAACATGATTCTTCCTTTGAAATTTTTTTTAAATCATCGCTCTAAAACGAATTTAAAAAACAATTGGCTGTCGTACTTCATATTCCCATAACTTTCAGGTCACCACGCTAGTGACGAAACTCTTTTTTAAACATCGTACCACAGAAAACTGTGTGCTCTATGAAGGTCCTGCCTGTAGCTCATTTTTGTTCCCTAAGTTTCATTTCATTTTCACGAAAAACTTTTTCCACTTCACCAAAAACCATCATAACAGTCTTTTTTGAAAATGAACAGTATATAATTCAATTTTGTAAAAAAGAACCGACCATATTAATTCTCGTAGTACTCAAACAGACGCGAATAACCAGTAGTAAGGGAGCCTTAAAATTATATGAAGCAATGCGAACCTCCTATTTCACTGAAATTCCATAGTCTTCGGTACTTTCTTATGCACTACAGTACTTTTCCAAAAAACTCTACCAAATAACTTGAAATGAAAAGGCACAGAAGAAACAATGAAGTGCAAAGTCCCAACAACTTCTGCATCTCCCCATAAGTTCATAATCGAAAAGGTGGGCAAACAATAACCCAGTAAGGAAAAACAGGAAACTTCCACAAATCTGTAACTAAAACGCAGAAGAAATAAAAGCAAAGAAAGATTTAAATTTAGCGGTACAGGACATCATGCACCACTTCATGTAACGGTTATTCTATAAAAGAAACAAATTCATCCAGAAACTGGATAAAGCTGCTACATGTATCAAGGGTTCTGACTTAACAGAAAAGATATATGTCTTAATCTTTTTGCATACCCTTTTTAATTTTAAAACAAAAATTTCCTCCACCTCACCAAAACCACCACAATAGTCTGTTTTGGAGATGAGCAGTATATAATCTAAATTTGTAAAAAAAAACCAACCATGTTAATTTTTGTAGTACCCAAACGGACGCAAATAACTAGTAGTAAGGGAGCCTTAAAATTGCATGAGACATTGCGAATCTCCTCTTTCACTAAAATTCCATCGTTGACCCAAAACAATTTCAGCCCTTTACAAGTACGACTAGAGCAC